GTACTCTAGGACATCTCATGAACTGACTTACTATATTGACTGCATAGAAAATATCCGGTCGAGTCATAGTGAGATAATTAAGCTTACCAACCAATCTACGATATCGACCCGAATTTTCAAACAATGCACCATCATCCATCAATAATTTTTGATTCGGATCCATATGAGTATCAATCGGTCTACCACCCAGCAAACCTGTTTTCTCAAGCATGTCAAGTCTATATTTCTTCTGGGATAAACAAATACTCTGTTTAGATCGAGCCACCTCAATACCCAAGAAATATCTGAGTTTTTCCAAATTCTTAATATGAAATCGATCCTGTAAGAATATTTTTAACTTGATAATCCCCTCAGAATCATTTTAAGGAATCACAATATCATCTACATAAATCACTAATAGGACATATTCAGCATCTGTCCTTTCATGAAATACAAAATGATCTGTCTGACATAGAAGAAGGTCAAACCCTAAAACTGCATCTGAAAACTAACCAAACCATGCCCTCGGCGACTACTTCAAGACATACAAAGATTTCTTTAACTGACATATACTCTTACCATACTCCCCCTGAGCAGTAAACCCAGGTGGCTACTCCATGTATACCTCTTCAACCAAGTCACCATGTAGGAAGACATTCTTGACGTCTAACTGAAACAAAGGTCAATTAAGATTAGCAGCCAAAGAAATCAAGATACGAACAAAAAAAATATTGGCAACAAGAGAAAAAGTCTCATCATAATCAACATCATAAGTCTGAGTAAAGCCTTTCGCAACAAGCCGAGCATTGAGACGCTCCACAGAACCATCTGGATAAAATTAACAGTATATACTCAACGACAGCCAACAGTTCGTTTACCAGGGAGTAAAGGAACGAGATCCCCAGTCCCATTATGATGTAAAATATCCATCTCCTCCTCCATAGCTTTCCTCCAACCCGGATCAGATAATGCATCCTGTAAATGCTTAGGAATAGATATAACAGATAATTGAGAAATAAAACAGGAGAAGACAGGAGACAAGACATCATATGAAACAAAATGAGAAATGAGATGATTAGTAACACACGAACGAATACCTTTGCAAAGAGCAATAGGTAAAGAGTCTAAATTACTTGATGTACTAGGATCAGAAGACGACAAGGAAGATGGTACGGGCACCTCAGTGGATGGGTACGGATGGCGAGAGTAGACACAGAAAGGTAAAGTGGTAACACAGTGGGCAGCGAAATATCTGAAGATGAGAAAAGAAATTGTGATACATGAGATGATCTAAAGTCCAAATCCAAAGGCTGAGAAGGTGTTGGAAAGTATGGAACAGATTCAGCAAATGTGACATCGGCACTAGTAAAGTATCGGTGTAGAGAAGAACTGTAGTAACAATACCCTTTCTGTGTGCGGGAGTAACCAAGAAATACACATTTGGTAGCTCGAGGGTCAAGTTTGTCAAACCCAGAACCCAAATTATGAACATAACAAACATATCCAAAAACCTTAGGAGTTAGGGAAAATAAGGGCTTACTAGGAAAAAGGACAAAATATGAACTTTGTCAATTCAACACAGAGGATGATATATGATTAATAAGATGACAAGTAGTAAGAATAATATCACTCCAAAAATGTCGGAGAATATTCATCTGAAATAACAGGGCACGAGTGACTTCAAACAAATGACGGTTCTTGCGTTCAGCAATACCATTTTGTGGAGAGGTGTAAGCACAAGGAGTCTGATGAATAATGCCAGTTTTATTAAGATAAGCTGAAAAAGAATCAAATTCATATTCCCGAGTATTATCAGAACGTAAAATACGTATATGACAACCAAACTGAGTTTTTATTTCTTTACGAAAAGTCACAAATATAGAAAATAATTCATACCGAGCTTTCATAAAAAATAACCAAGTTACACTAGAATAGTCATCCATAAATGTCACAAAATAAGGATATTTATTAGATGAAATATTCTTTATTGAACCCCATACATCAGAATGGACTAATTCAAATGGACTAGACACACGATTATTGACTCTAGACTGAAATGACACACAGTGATGGTTACTAAGTTGACAAGCTTCACAGGACAAAGACGACACATAACTAAGATTGAGAACTTGGCGCTTCAAATTCTGGAGAGAGAGATGTCCAGGATGACAGTGCCATTGAAAAGGAGACAACGAGGTCTGTAGAGCCCGGGTAGGTGAATCAAAGTCTGGGTAATATAGGCCACCAGCTTCATGTCCTGTACCAATCTTCCTCTTAGTCTTGAGATCCTGAATGACACAATAAGAAGGATAAAATGTTACAAAATAATTGAGAGAATGAGTAATCTTGCTAATGAAAAGTAAATTAAAAAGAAATTAAGGAACAAATAACACAGAAGATAGAGACTTATCAGGACTCAAGTTAGTAGTCCCAAAACCTGAAACTTTAGAACAAGAACCATTAGCAAGAGTAACACTACGTGTGGAAGTAGTAGACTAATAAGTAGAAAAGACATCACGCACCAGTCATGTGGTCAGAAGCACTAGAGTCTATGATCCAGAGACTACGAGTGGAGGACAACAAACATGTGGAAGCAATACCTGATTGGGCAAAAGTAGCAGTGGAGGGTGATTGAACAGCCTGTTGTTGGGACAGGAACTGCGCATACTCCTCTCGTGTAATAGTAACCGACCCAGTGTCTGGTAGAGCTGATCGAGGTATGGAAACAACAACAGATATGTCATCCTGATAGGAAGCCTGATTCGCAGCACCAGAAGGTTTTCCATGTAAATCCCAACAGAAATCAACAATATGCCTTCCACGACCACAGTAAGTACAGGAACGTGGTCCACTATGGCCTCCACGACCACCCGTACGACCTCCTCGACCACCACGACTACCACGACCACCATGACCACCTTGAGGACCATCACTATGACTACTAGGTACCACAAGAGCTGAGCGATCAGTGGAAACACCATGATTGATACCTGAAGTAGACAAAGTAGCACGCTGTATACGAGAGAAAACCTCAAGTAGTGAGGGAAGAGTAGAACCACCCAAAATCTGAGAACGAATACCCTCACATTCAGGTTTCAAACATACCAAAAACCTAACAACATTCATGTCCTCATGTTGCTTCTGTCAAACTACTTCATCAGTAGTAAACGGATGATAGGTCTTCATCTCCTCACAGATTCCCCGAACGTGAGAGTAATAATCCTCAATGCTCAGATTACTCTGTTCGAGTCGAAAATACTACTTGCACACCTCATAAGCTTGAGTAAGTGATCCCATATCTCTTTGGCAGTGTCAAGGTAGAGCATAGTAGAACTAATATTAGGCTCAATGCTATTCAATAGTAAATAAATAATTTGAGCATCCTCTTGTTCCCACTGATCATACCCAGGAGTATCTTCCTTGGATTTAGGATTCACCAGATATTTCTTAAATCCTTTACCATGAAGAAAAATTTGAACAGATCGGGACCATAAAGTGCAATTAGTCCCATTAAGTTTGACAGAGGTCATGAGACAATTAATAAGAATCGAAGGAGGCAAAGATGGAGTAAGAGCCATGGTGTCTTGCTTGGGTTCCATAAGAGTGCAACAAATAGGAGATAAAAAGTGCTACAATGCTGAAAGGTTGAACCGGTCTAGAAAACCATTGAACCAGACTAGTTTAGCCCAAAGGAGGCTGCTGGAAGGCTGAACCGGCCTAGAAAACCGTTGAACCGGACTAGTTTAGCCCTCTGGACCACTGAATCGGCCTTGATAAGGCTACTGGAAGCCTGAACCGGACTGGTTTAGCCCTCTGGATCACTGAACCGGCCTTGCTGAGGCTACTGGAAGCCTGAACCGAACTGGTTTAGCCCTCTGGACCGCCGAATTGGAGTAAAACCGATTTGAATCAGACTGGTTTAGCCCTTTGAATCGCTGAACCGGTCTGAACCAGGTTGGTTTGAACCGGGCTGGGCTAAACCAATTTAAATCTGTTGTTTGAAGTCGGGTCTAGACCTTTTCCAAGTCTAGACCCTTTCTTCTTCGTTGATTAGGGTTACTGTAACCTTGGTTTTGACTGCACAACCACCACCACGAGCACTACACCTGTTCTTCTTCGTCGATTAGGGTTACTATAACCCTGGTCTTCGACTACGCAACCACCACCACAATGAACAGACCACCACGATCACTACACCCACTACACCACCACAACGAACAAACGGTGAACGATAGTCTTCGACTGCACAACCACCACCACAATGAAAAACAGGCCACCACGATCGCTACACCACAACCAAGGAATCAACAGTACACCACCACAACGAATCGCACACACGACGGCAAACAACAGTAACACCAGTACCGCCACTAATGTAGCTTCAACAAACAACAGTAACACCACCACAAACAGAACACAAATATATTTAAAAAATATATTTAGGATTGTAACTTTGCTCTGATACCATGTTAAGTATAGATAATTAACATAATATTAGAAAGAAAGAGAGAGGTTAAAAACATAACCTATCTTTCATACATCACTTGTATTTATAGTTTACCTACAATAATAAGAATTATACATACACCCTCTTACTATTAACAATTTACACATACTACCCTACTATTCTCAACACTACAATTATCTTTAAGTAACGTATATTGTGTGTTTCTAAAAATTACTAAGCTTAACCCCTCTAGTTTTCTATATTTTCAATGAGTCCCACTAATAGTCCTACAATATATATTTTCTCAACTATTTATTGAACACGATTCTTGCTCTACCTTTGTTTATATGCTTGTTAAATCTATCAAAGCACATTGATTCTAATTCACATTTATATGACAGTGGGTTTCCTGTATGGTTGAGTAACATGCCCGGAGCTAAATTGAGGACTTCAAATGATGTTTTTATGGTATGTCTACAATTGCTTAATGTTGATTAAGATTATTATTTGTATTTCTCTAATCATTTTCTTTCTTTCAAAAACTAGAATGAGATGAAGAATTTTGATAGTTGATATGATTAAAGCAGAGAATCTCTTGGCTTCTCAAGGAGGACCCATAATCCTTGCTCAGGTTTGTAATTTAATTTTTGCACTGTTAAGTTGTGGTTTTGTGCAAGTGTGTGTGTATGTGTTAATTCACATAGTTTGCTGTTTATGTAAAAATATAGATTGAAAATGAGTATGGACTAGTTAGCAGCTCATATGGAAATGATGGAAAAGCATACCTGAATTGGTGTACAAATATTGCTAGAATATGATTGTTTTCATAATTAAACAGATCAGCACCTGCAATGGTTGGTATTATGATCAATTCTATCCCAGTAATCCTAATACTCATAAAATTTGGACTGAGAATTGGACTGGCTGGTTAGTCTAAAGTTTTCCATCATTTGTTATTGTTGTTTTTTTCTTTTCTTTTTTTTTTTCGTTATTTCCTTTATATATCTACCTTCACACTGATATTAGGTTTAACGAGTGGGGTGGTGGAGATCCACATAGAACTGCAGAGGACGTTGCCTTTGCTGTTGCACGTTTTTTCCAGTATGGTGGCACAGTGCAAAACTATTACATGGTTCGATCATCAAACACCACTCATTCTTATAAATTGTTCAATATAACTTATGCTATACTTGTATCTTCACTTGTAAATGTTGTTTGATATGTTCACGGTATCATGGTGGAACTAATTTTGGCCGAACAACTGGTGGTTCTCCACTAGATGAATATGGTAAGTAAACTCCTTAAAAAGTAGTTGTTAAGAAACAACTTTCATTCATTTTCTAATGTAACTTATGAAATGTTTAAGGTAATCCGAATCAGCCCAAATGGGGGCATCTTAGGCAGCTCCATCTTCACCTCAGGTCCATCGAGAAGACTCTCACATACCGAAAAGTCCAAAGTATTAACTATGGCAACATGATGTCGGTGAGTTTTCTGTCTTTTAGGAGTTTAGACCTATTTCATTGTCCAATGTGCTCGTAAAGAAAATCTCGAAAAAATTTTGTCTGTCTTTGAGATGGTTCTTCGTTTCCCATTCCTAAACCATTCTATTTCTACTTATAGGTGACGATTTACAACTTAAATGGAGAACGGGCTTGTTTCTTTGGAAATGCAAACGAAACAGACAATATGACAATCACCTTTGAAGGCAACAAGTATACAGTTCCTGCTTGGTCTGTTAGCATCCTTCCTGAATGCCAGACTGTAGTATACAACACTGCTCAAGTAAATATATTTTCAATCAGCCTATGTATTTTGTTGTTAATAAACGTGTTCTACTTCTCATTATGTGATGTTTGTATGTCTTTTGTGATTGGAGAATAATCGAGTAAAAATTTCGGTAGGTTAACAGGCAAACATCAATAATGTTGAAGAAGCCAAATGAAGCTGATGAAGGACCCCTACAGTGGCCATGGAGACTTGAGAATCTTGAGAGCCTTAAGAGCCAGCTTTTGAAAAAGAAGAGCGAGTCTTGAACCGGCGCCACTTCTGCATTGCAAGTCTTGGATCAAAAGGTGGTAACAAATGATACCAGTGACCACTTGTGGTACATGACCAGGTAAACTCTCCAAGTGTAAAAGACTAGCTTTTAATCTTAGATTACAAGATGTCGCTTTGTTCAAAAAAATGGCTAATTTTTGGATACTTCCACAAATATTAAATATTTCATCAGGGTTTTTTTTTTTCTAGGAAGGTTTTTAGGAATATGCATCAATTTTCAGTTTTTTAAGCATCTTTCATTACTTAATGTTTATACAAAAACTCAAATCCATTGAAATAATTTTTGCATTTTAGCATAGACATTGATGGAAATGATCCTGTTTAGGTACATGAGATCACTCTTCAAGTTCGTACTAGCAGCCGCATACTCCATGCATATGTTAATGGGAGGCACATTGATAATTTGATGAAAGCTTTCATTGCGCAATCTAACTCAAAATTTCACTTATCGGACGTTTTTTTTTTTTTTTTGGTAAAATGCACAATATTTTCAATTTCAGGATCTCATTGAGCAAAAATTTGTAACTTTAAATTTGTGTTTGAGAGAAATGTCAAGTTGTAGCATGGGAAGAATTCAATATCTCTGCTCAGTGCCACAGTTGGACTGCCGCTGAGAATTGCATGGTTGAACTCAAATTTCTTATATGCCCCTTTTTACATATCTCCTCATAACTAAATTTGTTTCCCAATGTGGTGACCAGAACTCTGGAGCAAACTTTGACACGATACAATATGGAATAATTGGTCCCGATATGTTAATGGCGGCAATAATCAAGCTAATGATTTGTCTACCAACAAATGGGCAAACAAGATTGGATTGCATGGTGAGGCGATGGGATTCTATCGAGACAATGCAAATGCCAAAAGCAATTGGAATGTTGAAAACCTTCCAATAAATAGATCATTTGTTTGGTACAAGGTGATGTTCATTCAAGTTATGTAAGAAACCATTGTGTTTAAGAATGTTTTGTGTCCCAATTCATTGAAGATTACTGAATTTTCCCCTTATTTTTTCAGACAACATTCAAATCACCTTTGGGGGATGATCCTGTTGTTGTTGACTTACTTGGCTTGGATAAAGGAACTACTTGGGTGAACGGTCACAATATTGGGCAATATTGGCCGAGCTACCTTGCTGTTGAAGAAGGCTGTGATTCCCCTTGTGATTGTCGTGGAAAATACAATCCAAACAAATGCTTGACCAACTGTGGAAAATCTTCTCAACTATGGTAATTTAAGTTCTGGATCCTCTCAATTTTAGTATCATATTTGTAGTTAACTTTGTCGCTAAATATGTATTAAATTTTTCATTCTAGGTACCACATCCCTCGCTCCTTCCTCTGTGATGAAGGATACAAATTGGTTTTACTCGAGGAGTTTGGAGGCAATCCATCACTCGTAAATGTCCAAACAGTTACAGTTGGGAAAGCTTGTGGAAATGCTTATGAAGGGAATACCCTGGAGCAATCATGCAAAGGTGGAAAAGTTATTTCTGAAATCAGATTTGCTAGCTTTGGTGACCCGAAGGCAGTTGTGACATGTGTTGGAAAAGAGAGTTGTGTAATCCTTGCATCAGAAGATACTTTTAAGCCTAGTGGTTGCGAATTCCTGGGGAAAAGGCTTGCTGTTGAAGCTGATTGTTAGGGCTTTCCTCTTCCATTGATCTGCTAGAATTTTCAGTGTTCATTGAGCTGTTCTCTGTTTGCTCGAGGTTCGATAGGATTTGTGGAATTTAAGTTGATTGTGATTGAATTAACATGTGTTTATTCACTTGATTATTGGGTCTTGAAAACTTCTTATTCAGTTATAATTGTGACAAAGTTAGTTGATCCCAAAAAAAAAAAAAAAACAGTCGATCCAAATACTAGTAAATATTATATCCTCACTTTGAAGAGTTCTACAGTATATATGTTACACGAGCACGGGACTCATCACCAGTGATCTCCGCATGAGCATTGGCCAGTCACAAAACAATGAAAACCAGAACTGTCTCTTACATGTATCTCCCTCTTAGTAACAACTGAAACATATTTGAAGAATGTATGGCAGTCCCCACAGAGAAGGATGTTCTTCATAATCGAAACAGGTTTTCCTGGCCTGCTCATCAGAAGCCCGTATGTCAACGCTAGTTTTGCACTGTGGTAGAACAAAAAATCCTTCTTCTGATGCTCCTCTACTTCATGAAGCACAAAACTTGTATCAGGTACATATCCCGCTTTTAGGCATTCCAATATCAATATTTCAAGTCCACTGTAGACGTCCTTGGTTTGGGAATGTGATTTGTCTCTCGCATAAAATGAATGAACCTTGTTTTGATGAATGATCCAACTTCGGATTGGGAACTTCTGAAACCCCTTCACCTTCATTTCCTCCCTGATCATTTCCGAACAATGCCATCTTCCAGATGCAGAATACAGATTTGATTTAAGTACATATGTAGATAAATCTCTAGGCTCCATATCAAGTATTTTCTTTGCAGCCCGCTTTCCAACAGTTGTGTTTACATGGATTCTACAACTGTCCAGCAAAGCTCGCCAAACAGAGGCCTCTGGCTTAAAGGGCATCTTATTGATCACTTCCTCTGCTTCATTGAGCAGACCCCAGTGACCTAAAACACCAACCAAAGAGGCATAGTGCTCTGAAGTGGGCACAATGTGATATGTGCTCTCCATTGAGAGGAAAAATCTATGGCAACAATCAACTAAATTTGAGTTGGTATGTTTGTAAGCTGAAATTATTAAGGTACATGTAATATTATCTGGCTGTAAACCTGCCTTCTCCATCTTTGCCCACACAGTCAAGGCCTCATGACCCTGCCTGTGAAGAACATGACCAGCAATCAAACTATTCCAAGTAACCACATCACGTGTTGGCATAACATTGAAAATATTGATTGCATCTTTCATGTAGCCACACTTACAGTACATGCTAATGATGGCATTTCCCACCAGCATGTCAGACAAAAAACCGGACTTCAGAGTGCAGCAGTGAATTTGTTCCCCAAACACATGAAAACCTAGTGTTCCACAGACTCCCAGTACTGCAGTTAAAGCAACTTCATCGACAGCTATGCCTCCTAATTGCCTCTGGCTGAATAAAGAAATTGCTTCTTTTGGCTGTCCATTTCGAGCATGGCCACATATCATTGATGTCCATATTTGCCAACTGTCCTGGTTAAACTGCTGCCGGCGGAACATCTTGTCAGCATCAGCCATTCGTCCACACCTTGTACACATATGAAGAAGTGCCGCTTCAACACACTCATTTGACCCAACACCAAACTTCAGAACAAACCCATGAACCTGTTCACTAATCTTCATTTCCATGAGTATCCCACAAGCATTAACAACACTAGTCAAAGTGAAATCAGTTAATTCTGTGCCCTCCTCCACCATTCTGCAAAACAACTCCAAAGCCTCTGATCCATTGCCATTTCGACAGTATCCTGATAAGACACAATCATAAGTAACACAATCCTTTCCTGGCATCAAGTCAAAAATCCCCACTGCCAAATCAACAAGTCCAAATTCCATGTATGCTGTAATCATTTCATTCCAGGTAAATGCATCTTTCACAGGCATTCTCTCAAACAAAGCCTCCACATCGTCCACACTCCCACACTTTGTATAAAACCCAATAAGAGCATTATTCACACTCAAATTAGTTTCCAACCCAATTCTAAGTGCATGTGCATGAAGTTCTTGGCCTCGTATCAAAGCCAAACACCCAGTTGAAGCAGCCAGAAGAGTTGAAATAGTAAAATGATCAACTCTAAAACCATCAATTCTCAACATATCACGAAACAATTGAAATGCTCTCCCATTCATACACTCCTTCAGCACACCCGAAATCACCGTATTCCATGACGCAATGTCCCTTTGGGGCATTTCATCAAACAATTTGACTACATAGTGGACGCAACCACCTTTGGCATACAAACCCATAAGTGCATTCGTGACGTAAGTGTGGTCCACGTAATCCAGTTTTATCGCTAAAGCATGAACCTGAAAACCCAATTCTAACTTGGAAATTCGAATACAAGCGGTCAACAAAGCAACAAAACTATACTCATTAGGCACAATACCTGACTCTCTCATTTCAAAGAAAAGCTCTATGGCATCGTATTCTCGATTCGACTTTGCAAACCCAGAAATCATTGCTGTATATGACACAATATTTGGGCATGAAAGAGTTTCTAAAACCTTGTGGGCATGATTGATTTGACCCAGTTTGAGGTAAGCAACAATGAGAGCAGTGGACAATTGGGTATCTTCTTCAAGCTTGAGAATTGAAACGTGGACCGCCTTGGCAAGTTCAATGTCCCTGTAACGAACTGAGAGATGAAGCAAATTGTAATAGTCCTTGCTATCTGAGCTAGAGTGATTTGATACAAGTGGCTTGTTGAGACACTCTGAAGTAAAAAGGGGTTGGAGGGGTGGTGGTTTAGGGTGAGAATGTTGTGGGTTTGGCAGGAATTGGATGGGGGATGTGGTGGAGAAGAGGTGGGTTTTGGGTTTGGCTTTAGGAAGAGAAGCAAAGGTTTTAGTGAGAGAAAGAGAAGACATTGGTGGTGGTGGTGGTGATGGGGTTGTGGCTTTTGTTGGGTAAGGTTGGAATTGGTGTGGATACGGCGGAAGACGAGAGAGCAGGGACATAGGGTGGTGTAGGTGGTGGTGGGGTGGTGGATAATGGCTGCCATGGAAGAAGATGGCGCCAACCATAAGCGTTGTTTAAATTGATTTTGCATCACAATTTAACTGTTGTTTGATTTCTTATATAACTAATTAGCCAAAATCCTATGATGCACAGGAAAATTGTACTAAATATTAGAAGGGAAAAATAAGACTAATATAGTTCTGCTTTATTTTCAATGTAAAAAATTCGGTTAGTAAATCCACATAGGAAGCTCAATGGTGTGGAGATGAACTCGTAACAAAGTATAGATTAACAAATTCTGAATTCAGTTATCATTGACAACTCTCGAGTTAAAGCGATACCTAAAGTTATCATGTGATACTGACATCAAAAATTTATTATGCCAGGATAAATTTAATGTAGTTGTGCCTTAGAGAGATTCTTCATTATCAAAAAAAAAAAAATCCTTAAGTGATAGACAATAAAAATAGCATCAAAACTTTCATTTTTATAAGACAGCCAAAGCTATGTCAAATTCTCAATTGAATCTGACAATTTTCAGGTGAAACAAACAGTGAATTACTGGATAGTAGAACTTCTGGAATATGGGGAACAATTCATACGTAAAATTTATGAAGCACATAGTTTTCTTGTTCATCATCCAATCAATTTTGAAGCTGTGCAAAAGTATTTGGAAAGCATTTACTGTAGTGATGAAGTAACTAGGTTGCCTTTCTTTATGTCTGCAACAGATAGAGGGCATGTTTATTGAAGTTTTGCATGTGTAATCGTCACTAATATGAAAGCAGTAGAGAATCAAAAACTTTGCACTAAGAGGTGGGGACCAGAAATCCCCATGACGGGCATTCAATTATATATATTGGGCCATCATCCATGGAACTTGGTTTAAATAGTTTACACAAGCATCAAATTTTTAACTTTTTGGTGAATAAATAGCTGAAAAAATTACTCATAACAGAAGAATTTCTTATTCATACAAGGATCAGAAAAATTTCTTCAACTGGGATGATCTCAATCTGACCTTCTTTTCATAGCTAAGTAGATTACACACACACACACACACACCAATATGGAAAACATAACACCCAACTCTCAAACAACAAAAACCACCCAAAACCCCTATATGGTTGTGACAATTTATAAGCGGATTACAGAAGTGGAGAACTTTATTATTGCTTAAACTGTGGTATATAGCTAGGTAGGCATTAGGAGATGAGAGAGAATCCTTGTTCAAGCATATCTTGTGCCAGTAGTTGGTTGGTTTTTTCACAAGGATGATTTCCATCCCAAAACACATACCCTGTGGCATTTGAGCATGTCCCTATTGATCTTTCATTGCAAAGCATGGATGTTTCTAGTGTACCAGTCCCACAACAGGCCTTCCTTGATTCAAAAAATCCTGCCATTGTCACAGATTTGCAAAAACAAATTTGAATCAATCTCTTTTATTTTTGGATATCCGAAAAAACAAACAAGTCTGAATAATTGGACTGTTGAATCAACAGAATAGGTCAAGTCAAAATTGCCCAAAAACATGATTTGACCTTCTGATCAGTTCTAATGTGTCGTTAACAGGCTACTCATCAAGTCAACCTTTGTGGGTAGGGCTGTCCATGGGCCGAGCCGGGCTTAGCCTGTGAATTTTTTTTTCGGGCCGGGCTTGGGTAGTGTAGGCCCAAGCCCGTACTCGGGCGAGTGGCGGGCCGGGCTGGGCTAGGCTCGGATAAGGGTAAGCTACCCGTAACCCAGCCCGTCACCTATTGGACGGGCTTTCTAGCCGGACTTTATTGGGCTGGCTTTGCAGGCCTGTTTGGGAGGGCTTTTGTTGAGCCTGTTGGGCGAGCTTTGTTAGACCTGTTAGAAGCGAACTATTTTAAGTTATAGTGGTTATTTAATTATAAAAATTGGTTGAGCAAATTTAAAAAATTAAGTTGTAATAAGTAATTTAATGTAATATTGAACATATTCGTGGCATTGATAATCGATATAAATAAAATGACTTCTAGTATTACCAATAAACATAACTAACGAGGATTTATTAAAACTAAAACATAAAAGAGAAGAAAATGAAAAGTAAGGATTTGATAATATTATCCAAATTATATTTAAATAAATCTTATATTAAATAAGACTCTAGTGCATTTATGCAATATCATTTGAAAATTCAGAAACTTGTCATCAATTAATGAAAATAAATAGAAATAAATAATAGTAAATTTAATTATTTTAACAATTCATTTTTATCTTTTAAAAGAAAGAATATGAAAGGCTTGACTATGTGTAATATTAATGAAATTTTATCAATATAAATTCCATATTAATAATGTTAGTATTGTGAGAGTCAAGTTGTCAAATTAAAAGTTTAACATCAATCTAGTCTTATTAATATGAGTTTTAAATTAAATAATACTAGTATTGTCTTTATATATTGTTTTAGGGTTAAAGTAGTCAATCAAAAGTTTTTCTAAATAGTGTACTTTTATTAGTAGTATAGATATAGATATGTATATTATATATATGATATGTGGGCTTCGGGTATGTGGGCGTGTTATTAGGCCGGGCATGTAGGTGGGTTATTGAGCAGGGCTTCGGGTTTTCGGGCCGGGTAGTGGGTTTAGGGGTAAACCCAAGCCCTTTTTTAAAGGACATTAGGCTCGAGCTCGAGCGAGCCAACTATTGGATCTATTGGGCTTCGGACCTATTTTTTTCGAGCCGAGTAACGGGACCCGTGGTTAACACGGCCCATGGACACCCCTATTCATGGGTCTAATGTTTTTAGTTCTTCATCTTTCTTCAACAAGTTCGACCTATTAAGCCTCATGGGCTGGGCCATGATCTTATCCAATGGACCACATGTGTGGGCCTTCATCGGACCAAGTAAATCAGGCCAAACATGGCGAAAGCCAATTTCTATAGACTTACCAAGTTGGACTATTGGGCAAAGCAGGAACCACCACATGTAGGGCTGGATAGGCTAAACGGGCCAGCCCGCATTCCACATGCCATTTGCTGATCCTTACTCGTCGGATCTTAGGAGGGTTTTATAGGAATAAATATTCAATGCTAATATCATGTCATCAATAACAGACTCTTAAGATGAAAAATGTTTTTGAGTTATGGCATATGGTTTATGGCATGGACTGGCTATTTAGTGCTTAAAAATAGGAGGACAGGACAAGGACATGGACATGCATGAATTACCATTATCAGAGGGCTTTGTGACCATATCGAAGAGGGGTTGATAGATGTCAAAGACCACAAGTTTAAGACCAGGAAGCTTGTTCTGCAGATCTTGGGATGTCATGTTTAGCTTCTTGTTGAACGAAACGGCATCGCGGTTGAGCCTTCCGACACACTGGTTGCTTCCGTCACCGAACAAAGTGATTGTCGCCGGCAAACATCCGGTTGGTGGTAGGGTTGTAACTCCGATCTTCCTCACTCCCAGCCCATACAGATGCTGTCGCATATATAGAAGTTGTGAAAGTGCATGAAATAAACCAGAAAAAAAAAAAAAAATCTGGCAGACTACAGTAATTGTGTCTTTTTAAGTATGAGCAATGCTATTAAGACCTAATTATTTTCATTTTTGTCTCACTTTAATTCTCCTTCTTTCAATTATTTTGCTATTTAAATTTACTAAAGAGATGGTAACCAGCATCTCATGTGACCCAATTGAGGGTTTTCTCTGAAACTTAATTGAGAGACTAAAGTGACGCAAATTACAAACTTTAAAGATGAATGTAATCCCTCAACTGTGGTTATGTCTCACGATAACACTTTTGTTAGTCAATGTAAACCGTTGTTTTCAATTAGACCATACAAATTGAAAGCTTAACAGACTTAAATTAGAAGAATAAGGACTAAATTAAACTAACAAAGACTGTATTTAACCCTATATAAATATAATAGATGTATCATATATATGTACACATATATGGGAATGTACAGACGCTAGTGAAGTAAGTAGAGTAAGAAGGAATATGAAGTGTAAGACCAGAATAAAAGTAGAGTAGGACTGCATGAGAGTGTCTGAGAAGCGATCAGGTGTGAAGGCTCTGTTGAGCATTGGATTGATGTAGTAATTCTGAACGAAATCACTGCTTCCTGCACTCAAGAGGTGGATTCCACCTGAGAATATGGCATTTGCTCTGGCTTTACCCACTATCCCCACCACTTTGTTTTGCCACTCCTTGTAATATTCTAGCTGCTGGGGCAGTGTAATGGTACGCTACGAACACGACACAACATTGAAACTTTATTATTATTACAAATGTTTTAATGTGTCTCTTTATATCTAAGAGGAAGAGAGAGAGAAAGAGATTTACATAGAGCTGAGCAGTCCTATCATAATAACCAGAAGCAGCAGAGGCAAAGTTGGCACCAGCCAAGAGGTTATTTCCTTTGGCATCTTGGCTAAGGTATGCTGGTGGGTACGAAGTGAACCCAAGGTACTCAGCTGCCAAAAGGAAATAAAACAACACATGCATATATATTGCTTAGTGTTAGGGAAGAGAGAGAGAGAAGAAGAAGAGAGATTGGGAGCATTACCAGTGAAGTCTATGGCTAGCTTGCCATTACAGAACCTCCCTGTAGGTTTGTGGGTGACAAAGTCTCTTCCATAAGGTGGGAAATTTGCCTTGATAAGGGTTCGAAGATTGTTGTTGTTTCCTACATCAACTACAGAGTCCCCGAAAATGCACAATGCAGGAACAAGAGGGTCCCCATGACCCACAAAGAAAATCACAGAAACAAGTAGAAAGAAACCTAAAACATATCCTGAGAGTCCCATTTTCTTTTCCTTTTCTCCTGCACAGAGAGGGAGAGGGAGAAGGGGGGGGGGGGGGGGGGGTCAGTGACTGAATGAAGGTAATTAGGGGCAGGTGGGAGAATTTAAGGAGAGAAGTCATCCAAATAATGGTGAAAGACAAACAACTTTCACCATAAAGTTGCACATTTCCAGGAGAGGAGTCAAGTTTGGCACCCCTTAAGGGCAATGATTTTCATCATTATTCGGCTAATATAAAGTGTTAGGCTTAAAGGGTTGTTTCCTATTTGTCTTTTTTTGTGAGTTTGTTTTGAGGAGGTGACAAACTAATTGGTTAAAGGTAGAGGTCAAAGTAAAATCTGCGTGACTCAAAAGAAAATGTTTTTGGCAAGCTTTCTTTTTCTCAAGCAAATCCAAAACCACAACAACAAAGACACGTTTGTATATAAATCCAGATACATCAGCAAGTGATAAATTAGTTTAAAGACCACCTGCCTTACTATTGTGACGTAGAATCACAATTTAATAATAAAACTTATCAATATACAAAATGAATCTCACTTTTTTACGGGAGACAGTTATTTTCTGACACAGGACAATAACTAAATCATGTGGGGTTCAGATGCCTATGTGTAGGCTAATTATCAAATGGTGACACCGCATAGCAATTGTGAGCGTTAAGTCATCTCCAATCGTGACTTAAATTTAAGTTCATGTTTAAATAAAAAATTTGATTTGATACAAAGCACTCCAAAGGACAAATTCAAATTTAAAGTTGGATGAACTTAAGTTTAATGGAAGGTGAAATATGACTATAAGATCTTTTAAAAGAGTAAAATCTGACCATTAAAAAATTGAGTAAATATTTAACTCTCCCTTGATTTGGGTAAGAATTTGAATTTATTTTCATTTGATATGAGTTTAAGTGAGAGACTAAAAGTTATTTTTAATTTGTTTTTATTCAAATTTAAATTTAAGTAATAGTTCGAATAAGAATTAGAGATGCCCTTAGGTAAAATATTTTCTCCTCCTCTTTAACGAGAAAATATTCATTGCAACGGTAACATTATGTCATCACGGGCACATGGTGTCACCATCCAATTAGAAGATAACAAATAAGTAAAGTAAATCGCACTAATCCTATGTATTGCTGATTAGATATGGTAGTTACTGATAGTTATGAAAATACTAGGGTTCACTTTATATATTTCTAATCTTTTAATTAGATGGTGACACCACATGGTAGTGATAACGCAGTGTCACCGTTACATTAAATATTTACTCCTCCTTGACACTAAATCCGAGAATATTCATTAAATGCCAATGTCTATCCCATGTAGTGGCAATAATCAACAACAATCTCTATGACGCTGTTGTCTTCTAAATGAAATGTTGAGAATTCTGTTATCAGAGAGTGTCTTAAATTGAACTGCAAACTTGAGGCACTGCTGGTGCTGAGAATGGAGTTAATTGACCTCTTCGTGACTTGAGTTGTGTGCCCTTTTCAGCAAATGCCCCATTAATTGGTCCACAACAAAGAAAGTAAGCTAACAACAGTCTGTTGCAATTAAATGTTCTCGTAATGGCTTAAGTAGAAACCCTAGATTCCACACTGTTCCATCAACTTCTGTTGGATTTACTGACATGGCTTTGCTTGAGAACAATTTTAAACACGATCCATTAACATGATTCAAGCAAACACAAAATTATCAAATTAAAATTGACAATAACTACGCATAACTCATTGAACATGTCGACTTCATCTTGTCGTAATCGCGTCATCAACATAACAAACCAATTTAATTTAAACTAGAAAATCTGTTAGCATGAACAAACATTTAAACTGATACAAGCATCGCTCTTCTGGTCCAGTAGACCAACTTGTTTAATAAACTTCGACCCAAAACAGCAATCAAGCAGACAAACCCAAGAATACTTACATTAAGATTGTAGGACCCTCATTTGGTCAGCAAATTAGATTCCAAATGCGCATTAACACACTAAATAAGGTGCAAATCTGTCAAGAAGCAAGCCCTGAATGTGCTGATTAAATGGAAAATGTGCATATACCAGAATATGATGAAGCCGGCCAACTCACGACATGCAAATGCATTCGAAAATCATGGCTTCTGTATTTTACTAAACTGCATTTTCAAGAAGAAATACCTCAAGGGTACAACAATAAGGGAAGAGCAATATTGAAGAAGGATTGAGAAGCATGCAAATTTAAAATCACAAGGCTCGCATTAGGGATGTTCACCCTACCTTACGGATAAGAATTACGGTATTCTATCTCTTCTACCGATTATTTTGCTGAAATTTTTTTTCTTGACCTACCCTACCCAATTAAGTGTACTATTTCAATCCGAATTCTGTCCAAAACAATCGAGTAGAAAGTCGAGTAAGAAATCGGGTGAACACATATTTTTCAGTTATTAATTTTTGGATCATTTTAACAATTTAATTAAGTAACACGCAACAATTAACTAACACAATAAATCAATAACACTAAAAAAAACACAATAAATTCTAGAATATGTAAACAATTACAATAAAACACAACAAGAAAACCATAAATATTAATAAAATATTAGGGTTTCTAAATTTTTGAATTTTAATTTTTAAGGATTAGTATATATATATATATATATATATATATGTGTGTGATTGAACCCATAAAAAGAATAGATTCTAAAGGAATTTTAACTACCTTAAGGGGTAAACAAATACTGTTTGAGTTTATAACTCCACTTCAGATAAAAGAAAATTTGATTCATAAAAAAAATCAGCTAAGTTTTTTAAAAGAAGACATTAAAATTTTAAGTATATCTGATAAAATGGAAATTAATGAGTTTAAATAAAATTAAAAGAACTGGAACATAAAATAATTCAAGAAATTTGTGGTATCATTCCCACTGCCTGTTGGAATAGGAAAAAACATGTAATAACACTTTCGTCTATTAAGGAATTTAATGAAAAAGATATTCCTACTAAGGCAAAGCCAACACAAATGAATAAAAAATATCTAAAACTCTGTAAAAAATAGATTGATTCATTATTAGAAAAATCATTAATTCGTAAAAGTTACTCTCATTAGAGTTGTGCAACATTTTAAGTGAATAACAATGCAGAAAAGGAGCGAGGAGTTCCTAAACTGGTTATTAATTACAAACCTTTAATTAAGGTTTTGCAGTGGATTAAATATCCAATTCCGAATAAGAAAGATTTAAATGTAATCTTCATAATAAGTTTGAAGATGAGTTCATAACTGAACTAAAAAATAAATTGAAAACTTTATCATTAAATGTAATTTCTCAAACTAAAAGTGTAGATCAATCTGAAACTGAAATTCAATAGTTTGAAGAATCTTTGCATTAAATGCAGTCTGAAGTAAATAAGATTGGGTATTCTAAACCTAAAAAATAAACTAACACATATTCTCAAGCACCTCTCATAAGGGCTTACTATAGGAGATCAACACCTCAAGATATTTTATATTAGAAAATTTTCTTTATTGAATAAACTGAATATGATGCTTCTTTCATTTACGAGTGGAATATTGATAGTATGTCAGAGTATGTAATTCATCAAGTTTTACATAAAATTCTAATGTATACACCAGTATGTAAAGTCAATCGGAATATAGATCATAACACTGCTAAATTTATTACAACATGATTTACTAGTCAATTAAGAGGCTAGTGAGATAACTACTTAAATTTAACTCATAGATATGAAATATTAAATACAGTAAAAATAATAACATCTATTGATGGAAGTATATGTAACAACTCAAGAAGACTCTGTATATACATTAATACATGCAATTTTAAAACACTTTATAGGAACAAGTTTACAGAGTACAGATAAGAGTAAAGAACTTCTAATGAATCTAAGATGCCCCATCTTAACACATTTTAGGTGGTATAAATATATATGTTTGGCTAAATTCCTATTAAGAAGTGATGCTAACAATAAATTTTGGAAAGAGAATTTATTTTAGGAATACCTAGCCTATTTGCTGAAAAAATAAGAATTCGTTTAAAACAGAGACATGGTGGATCTCTTATGAAAATTACACTTATAGATAATTAATTTCAGAATGTATTTCAGAAGGATTAGCTCTCTATAATGATTTAAATCTAAAAGCTCAAATTAAAAGGTAGAGATTAACAGGACGTAAAGAACTAGGAGAATTTTGTAATCAATTCACCTATAATATTGATATTCTAAAAGATAAATCTCAAACAAAAATAAAACATATTCTAGACCTTATAAGAAAAGAAGAAAATTTCATAAAAAGAATTATGACAAAGATATAAATAAGAAACCCACGAAAAGACTTAAGGCAAAGGGTAAACAAATCTATTAAATGTGAAAAATGTGAAAAATTAGGACGCATTGCTCATAAGTGTCTAATGAAACAAAAAAATAAGTGAGATAATTCTTGATGAATATCTTAAAGATAAAATTTTAAAGATTGTAATTAACTTAGAAAGTGGGAAAGATGAGTCTTCTGACAATTCATTTTATGAAAAAGAACTATGTAATCTTGAAGATGAAATAAGTAATTCATCATCTGATGAAGATAAATTAAAACAGAATAAAGCTTGTTCATCTCATTGTAAGGCACACACATTATTATAAAGCTATTTTAGATATGAATGGATTAAATATAAATACTTTAACTAAGTCACATACATTAATTCTAGATATCATAGATCAAATTCAAGATCATGTATTTAAAAGAAAAGTTATTGAACAATATCTAAAAATAACTTCATAAGAAAAGAAGTTTTCTCTGTCACAATCTTACTATTTAAAGGAAGTTTTAAAAGATCTGAAACTAGGTAATTAAAGAAAATGAAACTTCAATGCAAGACCTTAAAGGAGAAATTAATCAACTTAAAGTTGAAATAAAAATGATAAAACAAAAACTCTTAGCACTGAAAAAATGTCAGTAATCGAGGAAGAAATTGAGAAATCAAAAGAGTTAAATTCTTCTAATATATTAGAAAAAATAA